AATCCTAAATSCTTTACATAATTATTACAGGTTGTTAAGGCGGTATTGTTTACGGAGTAAATATGCTCGATTGAGCATCATTATAAATTATAAAATGCATAAAACCATTTATAATTATTTATTATTGGTTACTTTTTGAATATTTTTACGTATCGATTTTAATTAAATTATTTTAGATCCATATTATGTTAATCTTATTTATAACAAGTATATATATAAAATTAAAAAAAATACGTACAAATATTCAAAAAGTAAYCAATAATAAATAATTATAAATGGTTTTATGCATTTTATAATGAATTGTAAAAATATATTTTTTATTAAAATTTAAATGGCTCTCATTCAGTCAATTTTAGTTTTAGAGCCATGATTAAATGGTCAAAATGACTTAAAAAAATTCAATCTATACCCGATATTGGTATCAAAAATACCGGTTGCTATTAAAAAAATAAATAAGTTGCGTTGTGCATGCGCGTACCGAGATGATTAAAAATTAATCTGAAAACGTTTATTTATATAGCACTATAGCTTGTAAAAAAAATTCGATTTATTCCAAAATAATCTGGCTGAAAATTTCAGTGTTCCCTAAATTGGTGAACACACGGTATATTATATATTTTTATATGTTCTAAAARCAGAACACTGCCAAGTATTAGGATTTTAGAATAAAACAATGTTTGTATTAGACGTTTAATAGAAATACGAAAAATATATCACATTTAGATGTGTAAAGTTTGTTAAGATCCACGGTACGTACTTACAAATAATTTTTTTGGTCTCTATAGAGTAATATTGACACAGTTCAACGTCGTTGATAGATCTCTTTACATCGTCCATCTCTCTTGCACATGTAACGATAATATTTTACTATCCAACACGCGTATACTCCGTTTGTTATCCAATTATGATGTAACATTTTATTATTTAATCTCTTTCTATCTTTCCCACTTACTGTCAATTTCTTCTTTCTGTATTTTCTTTTTCTCTTATACTTCCTTTTTATCTGTCACAAATTCAATTATAAACTTCGTGCAGAGGTGTAACATGCGTAGTTTGAGTTCAGTGCAAGCATTAAGCCATTAAATGTTCTATAATATTGGATATATATATAGGTTACTATATGAAATTGTTAGTTATGGGTTTACGCCACACACGATTTTATTTTGTTTAAGTAAAATCAATAAAGTGACAAGTTGAAATCATATATTATTATATTATGTGATAACATACAATAATATAATACACTCGTAGCAGTGTCATGATAAGAAATAAACTTTGAAAAATATATTTTGTGTTTCAATACAGAACACGTACATTCCATTATATAATATGATGATGATTGAGTGAACATGCACTGTACTTACACTAACACTAAGATATAATTRCATTCAATTAAATKTTGAGTAAAAAATTAAATGATTTTCATGGGACTCAAACCAATTATTATTACATTTGAATCATGGATTATAAACAAAGAATATCAATTGCACTTTTCTGTAAAAAAACACATTTTACGCACCTAAAGGTTAAGATTTACGTTCCTGCCGATATTATTAGACGGCATTATTAATTATAATTTTTGATTCATAAAACAATGCCAAACATCCCATGTTATAATAGTCTAAATTAAATCAGAACCTGTAGTGTTTTGATAATTATCAATCTTTTTCTGTTCTTTTGTATCTAAAATTATTCTAGCTAGCTGAAAGAAGAGTTCAAGTCAATTTAGGGTTTTTTTTTTAAATAAGTATTATCATCAGATAAACAAATTCCTGGTTTTTCTTAAATTGTATTTATTTAAGGTAGGTATACTTTGTACCAATATTTTATTCTCAACTCAAAAGCTATGTCACCATAATCAGCTTCTAGCAAGGATGATGTGGGTTTGCCAATGTAGAATTATTTTTAGTTATAATCCCACCATCAATTTTATTATATTGTTCCTAGTATTAATCATTTTGTAATTTTTTCTTTCATTTTATTTTCCAATTATTAATATTTAAGGATAGGTAATATTTTATTTATAGCTTTAATTTTCTAACATTGGACTAGCTGCACATACTTTAAATATWAAATAAGTAAATAAAATTGCTGATTTTTCAATTTATTTAATCTCCATTTTCTAAATTTTGAGCCAGTCATTCGAACAAACGTACATTTATATTTTCCGAAAATATTATCTTCCAGAATGGTTTTTCATATATTATAATACTTTATCGCAATGACCGATTATTATATGGAATACAAATCTCAACGAACCAATTACTATTCGGACGGTAATTAAAATTTTTTTTAAATAAAATTTGGTAGATATATTATTAATTAGGGTTAACGAAAAAACAATACGACCACTAACAATACACATTTGTATCCATATAATAGCTAGGTAGGTAGAATTAACTTATAGCTGTAAATTCAATAATCTTTCACCAAAACATTTTCACACTACGTGAATAACATAATGTAATTTATTATCACCGTTCATGTCTGTCGCGTACAAACGAACAGAGATAATTATTTTTTTTTTAATTATTTTGGTAGTTGAACACTAAGCACGTACTCGTTCGTTTCAAAATAATATCATGTTTGAAAATGTCATTTGATACATGAACAACGCGTTATGCGCTATACGTATATTATATTATACGATGTGCACAYTTCCATGCTCTTGACAATAATAATGAGAAAAGTATAAGATTTACATTTTCGAGATTTTATCAACAAAAAGCAAAAACGACGTTTTACTATGATATCTTAAATTATGATGTACATGAATAATGCGACATTCGCATAAAATTATAATATAAAACAACGATCTACTGTTATGTTTCGGAAGAGGAAATATTATCCGGTGAAATAGATAACATATCATTCCTATAGTAACTCCGAGAAGAAAAGGGACCTAATCATGTACTTTTGGAAAAAAATACAAGTGCAAATTTTCAAATGGTACCTACCTAACTTGAAGTGTACTTGTAAATGTTTGGATTGGGTCTCAAGAAATTGTTTTCCTATCAAAACGTCGTACGGTTTTCTATTGTCGGAAAAATGCATCAACCCGAGGGCCATCATTACAACAACGGTTCGGATCGATTGGAGATATTTTTCAAAACGTTTTTGCATCCTCTTGTCGACAAAATCATAGCAGCTATCGCAAACGTCAGCTTCTCGTCTTCACCGAAACGTGTACCTATTGTGACGCTGCTTGTATTTATATATATATTTGTATAATATAATATACCGGAAAATTTTGCGCTTTTCGAATTCGATTTTGATCACACGCTAACCACATCGGTCACGAAACACGATAACGCTAAAGTGGGTTGTTATAGTTTATTTTCGTGGCAATAACACTTTTCGGATTTTCTCCGTTTTATTATCATCAGACTCCCGCAGCGGCGCGGGCGATCGATAAAACAAACGCCGCCGCCGGTAAGCAGCTCGCGGTCTTCCGTCTGTGACATCACGCTCGTTCGTTTATTATTGTTTTAATATTATTATACGGATACGTTGGTAGGTAGGTACAATATAATAACATGCGTGTAGATAATGTCAATGCTGAAAACTGAACAACTATATAATATGTACCTATAATATTAAAATAAGTAATGAGATGAATGTTATACAAACGATATAATCCTATTATTATTATATTATGATCATCATACTACCTAGGTATGTTATTATAATAATTGCGGCCCGGTGTGGCCTATTATATTATATTATATTATTATTAATATTAACGAACATATTATATTATACTGGCGTGTTGCGTGTATTGAGGCGATTAATTATGTCTTTGAGAAATAAAATATTATAATATCACATTATTTCTTATCGTATACGCAGCGATCAAAGCGATTTGACTATGATTTTTTCTCGACTAACTATTATAATATATGTATAATATTATTAAGTTTTACGTCGTTTCACCATTACCCAAGAGAAAMCCCATCGTAAAGTATAGATACTATACAGTAATTAACTTWGTATTAAAAACAAATATTAAGTTCATCAAGAATTCACGACATGGGCATATCGATAGTATACTATTTTTTCAGAACTCAGTTTTCTCGATTCTAGACAGACCTCATTCGACGCTGTAATTCCATCACTGTAAACATTCAAAACTTATTAATTATTATTTATTACACAATAATATTATTATTATGTTAGTCAGAAGCAACCGAGCTGCGCAAATTTATTCGAACAACTCAACCTACGTTTCAGCATTTCTGATTTGCACTTAAAATAAATTATATTAATCAGTTTCATTCGACTGACAATGCGTATTCGTTTAGGGATATATAATACGAAATTTAATAACGAACAAAATGGCACGATCACACCGTATATAGTGGCAGCGAGGTACGCGTAGCTGCTGTCAGCGTATAATATTCTATTGCAAATAAGCAGTTCATGAAAAAAAATTATAATAATCAAACATATATAGGTGATTATCCACAACTGCTGTGATCTGTGGGCTGCAAACGGCCAAATCCACAATATATTATAATATTTTTTTGTGTGATATTAATACATTTAGTAGATTTAATGGGTATATATAATTATTCTGGAAAATCTCTACCCGTAATTCGTTTTCAATCAATTGTGATTTTGTTTTATTTTTTCTTCGCATCTGATGCCAAAAGCGTTGTTCGATATCCAATTAACTCACGATAATTGTGTGCAATAAATGTCATTCGTGTTACGATTCGACTATAAAATTATAACGACGTCTATACATACCTTTTTTCCCCTCCCTGTTAATTCGAAATTTACAATTAGGCTAAAGGTATACTAGCTATACATATATATATAATTATACCTTGCACGGGCCTGACCGTAGTGTAGGTATAGCTTGTATTGAATTCAATAATAAAATATGTATTTGCACGACGTGAATTATTACTATTACTTTGTTTGAATCAGTTCACCAGATTCGGATGACACGTACTTCGGAGACGACTCCGAGGAGGGGCGTGACGATCAATACCTGGTTTCRGACAGGTGTGAGAGCAAATTCTATGGTTCCGTTCACGGAGGATCGACCGCCGGATCGACGGCCGCGGCAGGAGGGTTTAGTGCGGCCAGCGCCAACATCACTAGATCCATCAAGGTAATGATGATAATAATTAATAATAATATAATATTCGCTATGGGATCTGAGAGTTATTAATACCTAAATATCGTGTGAGAGCACTTGCCATCGACAATATGACATATTAGCCAGTTATGTTTTTAATCGATCATTATAATTGATAAGAGCGAAATAAAATAACGTTATAATCGTCAGTTGAAAAAAAAAATGTTTTGTTCAAATCCCAATTAGGAACCGACGCGATTCTCATTTATTGAAAATTAATGTATTACGGTAAATTGGTAAATAGGTTCATTGTTTGTAACAGATTTACATTAGAATAATATTGTCATATTAGTTATGACTGTTATGAGCATACGTAGATTAAATAAAAACACTATGGATCAGCGTTTCTCAACCTGTGGTAGCGTACCACTTATGATAAGCGCTATGCTCTTCAATGGAATCCTAAGAAAATCCTAATTCATAAAAAAAATTAAATGGAACATGATTAATTTTAGTTATTCACATAAAATATTATCATCATTTTGTAATTCCTAATAAATTACATTTCCATAAATATAAAAAAACGTACATTTTTTTTATTTAAGCTAAAAAAAAAGTCATTTGGTCATGTGGAACATGAACATTTTCAAACTGTGTAGGTGGTACGCATATATAGAAAGGCTGAGAACCGCTGCTCTAGATAGATAACACTAATACAATAATTTGTAGTTCATAATTTCGATTTTGATTTGACTCACTATAATAGTGGCACACGAAGGCAAGAAATTAGTCAGTGCTTATTGCCCACCTCATCCTACCACTGTCTCTCGCGAATCAAATCTAAATTAAAATAATTATCGATAAATGATTACATAGACATCGCTTAACTATTTAGTGTTATTTAATCTGTAATAGTGTGTGTAAGGTGTATAATCCTACTACCCCATTCCCTCTCGAAGTTAGTGATAGGACACGAACTATTGATTACTATATTATTAATGAAACTATTTCTAACACTTTCAAATCCGTGAACTTATAATATTTGTAAAACCTTTTTGAACACACCTGAGGAGTACTGAGGCAAAAATAAATTATTAAACATTGAACAGCCGCAATGTCTTATACGTYAAAACAGTCACGAGAACTTAATATTATTCGTCGTAATAAAATATTTATAGCTACGATACTTCATGGAAATTTTTATTTTATAAAAAACCGCAGCCCGGTTCAATATTGTTGACACACATGTACTTTGACAATATTTCACTATAGTAATAAATCGTTTATGTTATCGATATACCACAACTCGGCGACAGACGGAAGTGGAAGAATACCGAGAACGCGTAGGTAGGTATCACATCGTTATGAATTATGACGTTTTATATTATGACAAAATAACGGTTATTGTTGCGTCATGAGGTTGCGGATAAAGTGTATTAAAACAATAATAATAATACCAATTATAAAGATCGTTCAATGAAATAAAAATTGATTTAAAAACATTTTAGTGTAAAAACACATAATTATAGTGGTGTCTTTCAATTAAAACCCCAATGTAAAAAAAAGATGCTGTAGGTTTGGTCGGTTTTTGGTCGGCATAATATTATTTCATAATTGCGTCACATTCTTTACGCATAAGTGTGTAAGTTTTCAAAATTATATGACAAATGTTGACACAGATGTTGATAACTGCTGACAAACTGCCCATTCGAGTCCCATCACCTAAGCTCCTATGCCAAGGACTTATCGTCTTAACGGTCAAGTCGTCAATTAGACAAGCGTACTGCGTTTAAACGATCAAGTCTCTGAACGTCGCATCTAATTATAATTTCCACCCGAATTTTGTTGAAAAACATCAATTTCCCTTGGCGTTTTGATGAAGAAACTTTAACCGAAACCACAATGATACCACAGCTAGTATATGGTTTGGTAATTATAAAATCTACAGGAGATAATATATAATATGGGTAGGTCAAATTTTCTCGTGCCTATAAAATATATTTAATAATATGCAATAACTGCTGCTGCAACGTGGCAACAAAGGAGTAAAACTAAATAATGATTATATAAATAATGAGAAGTGTGTAGTATGTATAGTGATAATAACGCTAATCACTTATTTTTAATCAAAATATTCAGTAATTTACACGCGTTACTGTAAAGTGTAAGAAAAAAACTGTTAACTACCTATGGTACATAACATATTATTAAGAATAAACGGTTAATGCAATTATGTAAACTATGTAAATTATTATTAAATCCATTTACTATTAGTACAATTAAGCAGCTTTTCGTGTAACTATTCAAAAAATATTTGATTTCTTTAGTTATAACATGAAAAAAAATATATATCCAATTATATTATACCAATAGRTATGACAATATGTCAATATGTATATTATACATTATTTTCACCACCCAAAAATAGCTGTGAGCGATTTATTTTTTCTGGAATAAACACCAGCATCAATAAATTTAATGTAATCGAGTTTCCCTGTTACGTGTCAGAGGTAGTATATAATTTGGCGGGGAGCTGATTTTTTATATGCACTATTTAATCGTTATGTAAATGTAATTTATGGTTTAAAGGTCATAAATTTATAAAATATATCAAAGTTCACGGTAGGATGGTCATTCGATAACGGGATGACCGTTTGACTGTCGCTGTGCATGTGCGATAATTTTTCTCTGTTTTCGGTGATCTTCCTTGTGAAAACAGGCGGCCACGTACCTGTGCCCAGCCATATTCCCATGGGTGGACATGGGACCGGCCACCGAGGAGAGTGGAATGGTGGTACTCAAACTGGTCGGCGTGTTTTACGTGCTTATCATCGTGTTYGACGTGCTGCTGGTGTTCGTGTCTTCCGAATCATCCACTTTTGTCTACATCCTGTTGTACGCCCTGCTGATCGCAGTGATCGTTGTGCTGGGCGCCATATCCCGCAAGCCCCAAAACAAGTGAGTGCTGTTTTTGAATTTATAATATTATTATTAAGTAGCTAAGTATATTGATATGAATATGTATTATTATCTATCAGTTCATGAATATTATTTAAATATCATCAGTTTTTGTCTTTTTAATCACCCAAGATTCAGGTAACACGGTTCAATGTGGTTTAAGTTTATACCAAAGGTCAAAAGTGGAACAATCTACGTTCGTTATTTTTCGTTTTATGAGAAACCGTCATGCCAAAGTTATAATATATAATAGTGTAAAAACACTATATAGGCATTTTCCACTTTTTAGATTTGAATTGAGTTCTTTGATTTTCTTGGATCTAATGGTGTATTTTTTAGCACATAAAACATATAGCATTGTATCCTAAATAAACTAAATGTACCGTAAGGAGGAAAAATGGAACCTCGATGTAAACAAAATCCACATACATATAATGCTRTCAAGCCAATTTTAGATATTATATATTTTATTTTTTAGGTACCTACCTATATAATCAATGGTATCTAATATGATATATTGGAGTATATATATTTTTAATTATAATTACAATTTCAAAATGTTTATAAATATCTTCTATTAAATCCTTGTCCGTATAACTATTAAAATCTTGTATTTTTTGTAACTGAAAGTTATCCTGAGTTTTGATATAAAAATGACAAAAATTTATTTAAGAATAATCTCAATGATTACCTTCCTATATTAATTAAATAAATTCCAATCGACTTTCATTTTACTTAACATTTAAATGTGTAATTCTAAGGTTTTGTTAATTTATGTAAAATATACTTCCAGATATAGGTTACCTATTGACTTTTCACGTACTGAAAATGACGATAAGGCACCATTAACAAACTGTCAATAATGACTATAGGCAATAACGCAATCACCTATTTTATCATGCCAAATAAATGCAGGAAACAGGAAATGTATAAAACAATTTTTATTAGAGAACACGGGGTTTATTTTAGCCTATATTATAATATTGTGTTGTTTAGMATTTGGCAAATAGGTAGTTGGCTATACTATAATACCTCACGCCGCCGCCATAAGAAATATGCCACAATTATTAATAAAAAAATATATATTATATTGTGAACAGTTAAACAAGAATTAYATTATGACGTTGGCGAAGACATTTATTTTGGACGGTGTAATAACAGTTATGATATCAATCGATTATCAAAAATAATAAATAATACGAGTAGACAATATATTTTACGATCAGCGGTAACATCGGCGGCCGGTGCAGCCACGATGTCTGGCTGTGGTCTAGATAGTTAGTATTTTATCTAAACCCCGTTGCTTTCCGAAGAGTATTATCCATTTGTACTTGATGAATATTATATAATACGTGTAAACATGGGCATACTCACATGACGTGCTATATGTATATATAGCCATAGTCAAGCACCGACTTGAAGGTTAAAATAATATGAAACCTTACCATATATTATAACATAGTCATAGTTTACATAGTTTAGACAATAATTTAGAACCATTCTTGGCAATCGCACTTATAATGTTATTACGATTTAAAATAAACCRCAATGTAACGACAAATGATACATTTTAGTCATCGGATAACACAACTCGAGAATCGAGGGATTTTGTTCTTTATGTAAAATAGTTATTTCTTTAATTATCGTCATTACCAGTAACATAATATTATGCACTATTRCGTCATGATATATTATAAAATAGGTATTATAGTACAATATACATATACATAGATACTCCGTAAAAGTAAAATTAAATTATAATTTCGATATTTCTGACTTTAATTATTGTTACAAAACTTCGAAACGCTTGAATAATAATTTGATTTGATTAATTTGTTTTAATAAACTTGTTCCTAGAAACGTCCTGGTGTTTTAAACTGAATCTCCTAAACTAATTATTTCAACCGTGAGTCCTATAAAGAATTCGGCGATTCACTCCTTAGTCCTTACAAATGGAGTTAAATGGAGTTTTATAATTATACCGAAACCCTTTCTATGATATTAGCATTATGTCACGTTGTGCAAATATTTCAAATCCACACGCCTCCCGTCAGCCTTTACCCTTTTTGATGTTGATAATATAATATATTATTATTAATTATATTTGACACGTATATATGTGTATTACACTAACGCTCAGGAATAATATATCATAATTGGATATTTATGTGGGAATTAATTTACGAAATGTCTTAAATCAAATATTGGAAATAATTAATATAAATTCTACAAATATCAAATTATTACTGCGTACACAATATTCTGCACATTTCATAACGTTCACAATCAACAGATATAATACATAATATTGTACGTTTCGTTTGTAGCAAAAAAAAAAAACAAGAGAAATATATTTTTTTCCGATGCTATTTCGTATTAATGTACGTTGTCAGAACAAGACATTCCCTGAAAGTTGGGCTTCAGTTTGAATACGATTTATAAGTGAGTGTGTGGTTCGTAAAAGTGTAAGTGCAAGTTGCTTATTATATGGGTACTTTCATAACGTTTCTACAACGTTGTTCGGTTTGACCTTAATAATAAATTGAATTCGATTCGCCTCGGTGAAATGGAAATATATTTTAATGCTTTTCGCTTTTCGACAAGAGCTTGGGGACAACGTGACTCTCGACCATCTGCACGATTGTTTCGACATCTAAATCGTTTTGAGTAAAATTATTTTTATTTACAATATTGTTTGAAGCGTATAAATTGAAAAATRCAAATGGAAAATTGTTTTTCATAGTTCACCTAACAATCTTTGAACACCTAACACATAGGGCGTATAAAACGTTACAATTATAATACCTAATTGTAAATGTTGCAATATTTTTATAACTTAATTCCAGCAAGACGAAAAAAAAATATTTTACTACAATATTATTGTGATATCGCGTAATTTTGCATTTGTGCAATTTAAATGAAAAGTATCTCAGAAACAGAAAAAAGTTGTTCCTAAAATAATTAGCTTTCCGGTTAAAATGTGTTTTGGTCCTGTACACCTCAATCACTTTTGTATAATACCTCATCGTGTTATTATAACATACGTAGATCTAATAAATTACCTTGTCTTTATACTTTCATTTTGCATATATTACTTTAATTGTTGTGTAAAAATAAAATTTTTTTTTTGTTTTTGTACCAACACGTGTACCTACCCTTGTTTGAGACAATTAAAATGTCTGGTCATCGGGATCCYATATGTATATATACTATATACATATATATCACAGAACCACCGCAGCTCATTCGAATTAAAACCAACACTATAATTCACACAGTACAAATTTCTCACGTTCAGACGATTTTTTTTTATTTTTACTGTCACGTATTTCATTTTAATATCATGAGTAAAAATTTTGTTGTCAAAAATGGAGATTGCAATGTGGCTATAAAAAGTTAATGTTCACGGAGGGAATGTCATGTATATAACATATAAAAAAAAATCGAAAAGTAAGCCAAATAGTTAACGATGCTTTATTTATTAGTTTCGAAGGATCATTTTATACAAATTTTAATTAAAACTCACATGACCGAATTATTTGTTTTGTAAACATAAAATATCTATAAATTAATTAGGTATGTGTAATATATTACATGGAATGTATTTGTATACGTTTTGATTAAAACTGTTTTAAGCTAAAATTCAAGTTTAATGTGCTCCAAATGCAACTCGTACAAATCGGATACTTAGTCATTAAATTATTATTGCAATATTCGTCCATAAAAACCAATTAAATAAACAAAAAATGCTCGCTAAAATTATCAAAATAAAAAAATCAGGAGCTCATCGTCTTGGGAAAACTCTGCAGTGTCTAATTATAACTACAGACAATGTTGTGAATTGTGATATAGTATTAAACTGCGAGTTCCGATAATCGAATATATATTTATTTTTTTATTTATTTACCACCTG